CGCCTCCAAAACGGCTTTTTCCTTAGCCGCTTTCTTTTCAGCAGCCTTCCTGGCTCTCAGAGATTGCGCGGCTCCTTGCATTTCGATGAGGTGATCTAAACGATGGTCGGATGATTCTGAAGAAGACTGGCAGGGAGCTCCGTGCAACAAACGCAAGGCTCTCTCGATCCTTTCATGGGAAAAGTGCTTCGTCCAATCACACTTCCGAGCTATTAGTTCGTCGTGGAGGTCTAGAAAACCTTCGGGAATGTCTTCGAGAAACGACGGGTTCCGATCTGCATGAACAAGAGAAAAGGTTAGTAAAAAAAAAAAAATAAAAATAAAATATACAAAGAAGAACAAGACAGCAAATACAGCTTCGGGCTTAGTACCGATTTGTCTCCACTTTCCAACAATTTTTCCTAAGTAGTCCTCGTGGACACTATACTCATTCAAGGCTACAAAGAAGAAATGGTCGGTATATTTTTCATCCTTGCTCGGGAAACCGCCGATAACCCTCCTATTTGGCCTCGGAGATATGTAAAATCTCTCAACAGGGCCCGGTATTCGTCGGATCTCTAGGAGATTCCTCAAGTGGCTTAGGTCGACTAGATTGACCGTCTCAATACTTCGGACTAAAATCCCCACTAAATGCCGCAAGCCCCGGGTCGTTATCTGGGACAAAGCAATCTTGTACGACCACAGAAACGCCAAAATCGGCCTCGGGATTGGAAGCCAAAGGAAGCAATGATAGAAGAACCCCTCGTAGAGGGTAAAAAACCCCTCGGGTGGATCATCGGCTCGCTCATTTGGAGTTGGAAGTCTCAGTTCAACTCCCTCACTGAAACCAAATCGAGCCTTGAGATCCCGAAGGGAATCCTCCGTGCATAAAGTAGAACCCGGGGGATCAGGTTTCCTAGCCTTCTTGGCTCGTTTTCTCGTCTGTTGGCCCTTGGCTGCTCAGACTTTAGCTTGAAGCAACCTAGCCGCCTCGTCAGAATCGTAGTGGACTTCCTCGGCCTTAATAGGAAGTAGAGGCGTCTCGGGGGCGTTTCGCCAGCACGATACTCCAGCTTCACCGACTGCCGGTGGATGGGCCCTCCTTCTACTCAAAATCGCCTCGGGATCATCAGGCAAATCCTGATCCCGAGCCACATTTGCAACCGCATCTTCCCGAGCAACGAAATGGCTCGGGTTTCCTTCCCGAGAAGCCGACTCTGCGTCACTCCCCCGGTATAACACGATCTGATGGTCCGCCTCGGGGTCGCTCGAGGAACTCCAGACCATTTTTCTCTTGTAGACGGGGAGAAGAGTGTCGCCTCGGGGCGAATCGCTGGAATCAGATAGAGACATTTTCTGGCTCGGGAGATTAAAGAAGCTGATCGGAGGAACAAAAGTTGACAGATCGGGGAAATCAACCTAGATCTAATGACGGTTGCGCTACGACGGAAATATTAACGGAAAAAGTAGAAATTGAAGAACTCAAGATCAGAGAGAAGAAAACGAACCTTGAAAATTTTTCCTTTGCAATTGCGAAATGAAGAAATGAATCGGAGGCTTAACATTTATAGAGATTTGGGGCGCGTCGGGTACGAACGAGCCAAATAAAACACATCAAATCCGCGTCTGAGGCGCGTCGGGCACAAACGAAGCAAGTAAGATACTTCGCATCCGCACGAGTCTCGGGAATCAGCGAAAGGACCTTTCCACTTCTCGAGAAGGAATCCCAACCGTCACACGCCAAGAGAAGATGAAACGACAGAGGAATCCGAATCGCCAAAAAACTTTAAAAGGACCGAACTATTCAAAGTAAACGGCTCGGCCTAAATGTCATAAAGCTCATCACGCTTGGTTCTCCAAACTAACGAGCTGGGGGGCTAACTGTTGGGGTCGGTTTCCACCCTTTGGCGCCGAGCCAGACTTAGAACACTTCGGGAGTCTTTCAGAGATCATCTCAGGATATCGCGTCATTCACTTCGGGATATCTGTCTAATCGATTTAGTATACCCGAGCCCATCGCCTCGGGGATACTTAAACAAAACGACGAAGGAACCCGAGCTCAATCGCCTCGGGGGCACCCGAGCCCATCGCCTCGGGATACTTAGACAAGACGACGCAGGCACCCGAGCCCAATAGCCTCGGGGCACCCGAGCCCAATTGCCTCGGGGGTACCCGAGCCTGGCCGCCTCGGAAGTTTCTAAGCCCATCACCTCGGGGACACCCGAAGAAGCCATCTTTGAATACCCGAGCCAGTCCTTCGTGCGTACCCGAGCCGGTTGCACAAGATCCCCGAGGCGAAGTCTTCATCATCGCCCGAAGCAAGGACTTAGTAAATATTCTTCTCTAAAGGTATCATTTCCAAGCACATTGTCATTTCCGAAAAAGAAGGATCATTTCCGATAAACTCGGAAATGATAAGGAAGAAACGCGAAGGATCAACTCAAATCAGGAAATATTCCGAAAACTCCGAAGAATAAGGAAATTGTCCTAATCCGCGATATTCTAGCCGACTTCAAGATAAATGGAAATCTTCCGAGAATATCGCTGGAGAGGCGGTTTATCATCCCTATATAAAGAGACTCAAGGCTCAAACGAAAGGCAGGCAACATCGCTCTAGAAATTACACTACGCAAAGCTCTCACAGCACAAACACTTTTTCTTTTACGATCAAACTCTTGTACGATCAAAGTCATCTTTTTTCATTAATAATATCAAGAACACCATCTTTGGTATCAATCGTTTCTGTTGTTCTTTGAGAATTCACGATTATCGTATCCCTAAAATAAAACCCTAGACAAATCTCGATTGTGTTAGTTTCGACTTCCACACTTGTCCTCTGTTTTTGTTTGAAGCTGTGTGTTTGCAGGTCTCGCTTTTTGGAAAAGCTAATTCTTTTGTAAAGTCCTTTCACTTTGTGGAAGGTTCCTAGTGTAGCTTTTTGGCTTTGGTTTGGTTTCTATCACTTGTGGGTTGGGAGTGGTCGTCTTTTGTATCGCCAATTGTAGTCCTGCTTCGCATTATATAAAATCAGATGTTCAAAAAAAAAATATAAAGAACTTTTGAGATTTTGATTCCTAGGTTCTTTTTCATCGTTTTCTCCGTGAGAAGCTTCCTTACCGTTGTTGTCCAACAGACTTCTTTTCTCTATTCTGTTTTATTTAAATACTTTTAAAACCTTTTTCTGATGTTGATACTTTTAATTCTTTTCCAGTTTTCATCAGATCTATGTTTCTCATCAAACCGTAAGTTTAACAATCATATACAGCTCTTATTTTGGTGTATTTATTCTCTCCCTTACTTCTCACCAATTTTGAGTTTTTAAGGTTACTTCAAAATTTTATTATTTTTTTATGTTGAATTTTCAAGGATGAAAATGAACCGTAACTTGAAGAAAATAAATATTATTTCTTACGCAGTGAGTGTGTTGATATGAAGAAGGTAAATAAATTAGTATTTAAAAGGGTATTCTCTAAGCAACAAGATTTAGTGTTGCGTAAGGAATTAACAAAGTGTTAAAAAGATCAATGGCCTATGCAGTTCTTTTCAGTGGCATGGAAAGGTAGGTACACCGTCAGGTGCAAAAGTGTCATGGTATAATATTTGTTTCCCTAAATCAGAGAGTGGGCTTGGTTTGCGACATATTGGTAGTTGGAATGAGACATGTGCTTTGAAAATTTTGTGGATGCTGTTTTTTAGAGCCGGTTATTTTTGGATGGCTTGGATAAGAAGTAAGTATCTTTCTACTTCTTCTTTGTGGGCTCTCAATGAAAAGAATATTACCTACTCTTGGCTTTTTAGAAAATTAATTAAGGTACGTCCCAAAGCTCTTCAATTTTTCAGTATCAATATTGAAAATGGTGATTTTACCTTCTTTTGGCGGGATCCATGGACTCCATTTGGCTCTCTTTACGATTTCCTTGGTTCAGATGGTCCTACGCACTTAGGGATCCCTCTATTTTCAATTGTGGTTGAAGTGAGAACTCATAATGGATGGTCTCTTCCTCATGCCAGAACGGAGAGACAAGTCCTTCTTCACTCTTTCATCTCTACCATTTCTATGTCCTCAACAAATGATACTCCGGTTTTGCGAATGATGGTCTTCCTCACTTATCTTTCTCTTCTAAAGCTGTGTGGAATGCTGTTCGGATTTCGCATCCAAAACAATCTTGGGCTCCTCTTGTGTGGCACAAAGCTGCCATCCCAAAACATGCTCTCACATCATGGTTATTTATACTCTTGATCGTTTGTCTAGTTGGGGCTTTGATATTGAGTTTGACTGTCTCCTTTGTGGTTTTGCTCATGAGTTACGTAATCATCTGTTTTTTAGTGTGCCTTCTCTACTGAGGTTTGGAGATTAATAACACATAGACTTAGGATCTCTTCCCCTCGGCTTCTATGAGATCATATCCTCCTTTGGCTGTCAACGGCTTCGACATCAAAACACAAAAAAACTTGCTCTCCTTCAAGGTTGGCAAAGGGCGATCTATGAACTATGGAGGGAGCGAAATCGCCGTTTGCATGACGGTTTCTCCGTCTCTCCAGTTACGGTAGCAACACACATCATTTCCACCATGAATAACAAGTGTACTGCTATGCTACAGTTGGGCTTAAAGCGAGGGTTCCTACTTCTTCAATACTGGCTTAATTAAGGTTGAAAACAAACAATAAGCTCTGTTTCTTCTTTTATTCAGCTTTGTTTGTTTTGGATCAATGTATTCTCCTAGTACCTCTTGCTAGTTTTCTTTCTAGTTAGTTTTTGTTTGTTTTTGCATACGTTTCTCTTTATTTATATAAGAAAACCTTTTAACAAAAAAAAAAAAAAGGAATTTACAAAGTTTTATTCTCGACGAAATAAAAAAAGAGATTTCTATCAAAATTCTGAATTTTGTAAACACGTGAAGCCAATGATCCTTGGAAAAAAGCACAAATATGTTACAAAACTTGTGACTATATGCATGGAAGAGTTCTGGCAACAGATTTAGGGGAATAGTGGTGTTTTTGATTAAAATGCAAATAATTAAATAGATGGACTAAATTGACCTTGTTTTGAGGCTTTTTATGTTTATGGTCCATACAATTTTGTAGAATTAATTATGTCGTTGGTTTAAGCCATTTCTCTCAACTGGATCGATGGTTTGATTTGAATCCACTTGGAGGTGAAAGCTAATTCTTCTAGCTTTTCTTAGGGATCGTCTTCTTCGAAGAAAAAATCGGAAACCTGTGACCTTTGTGATTGTGGCCATCGACGATCGCCATCTTCCTTTCTGGTTCTTTCTGTGCTCTCAAGACCATTGGGTCAAACCGTTATCTCGGAGTCGTCTCTGTAGAACTGATGGAGCCACCTGAAGGTTCTTTTCTATGGAACCAATTGTGATTTCATAAGTTTCATAAATCGCCCACCAGGTGTTCGATGATATTCCCCACCCAAATAAAATGACTTGAAAACTTTGTTTCTCAATGATTTACAGATGTGAAGGATAATTTCGCCAAAGAGCTTTATGGAGAAAGTGTACAGCTTTCGAAACATGGTGATGACTCTTTCTTTACCCGGTTATGCAATTGACAAAGTTTTTGCTTTTTCTGATTAAAACACTTACAAATTTGTTCTCGTAGTTTAGCTGAGTTCTTGTGTTTGCTTGATTGTTTAGGTTTAGAGCATAGTTAACTTCATTTGTATTGCTAAGTTTTGGCTTTCCAAGTCTCTCTGACAAGAATCATCCTTTGGTTTAGGTAATAATGATCATGTTCTTGAGAATTTAGATGATCCCTTTTACGGAAGTTCGGATGAAGATTATAGTGAAACTCGCGTGTTGGACAATGAGAATAAGTTGAGACGTGTGAAATTTGAATCGGTATTCTTTTTTGCTTTATCATTCTATCAGTGTAAAATGCTTACCACGTTTGATCAATTTTTTTTCTATATGTCTGGCTTTTTTATGGTAAATCGAAATCGTAGGCTGGATACCGTGATGGGATTGTTGCCGGGAAAGAAGCTATTGCGCAGGAAGGTTATAACTTTGGCTATAAGGAATCAGTTCTTGATGGTTACAAGTTTGGTATTGTTAGAGGTGTTTCCAGGTAATTACAAGTCTGCTGCGATGTGTTAAATATCCGATGAAGCTTATCGAGTAGTAGTTTATAAAGATTCTGTTTTGACCCTTTTTGAAGTGCGCTTGCTTTCCTCCCTGATGAGCTTAGAGAAAAGCTAATTGATGAACAAGAAACTAGAGAGAAGTTTCAGAAATTACACAGTTCTGTGCATGCTCTCTCAACGGAAGTAGCAATGAAGCGGTTCTATGAAACTTTGACTACAAAGCAAGGGGAAGAGAAGAGTGGAGAAGAAGGGCCTGTCTCTGGTTCTGTTTCCGGTTCGGGTGTTAATGCCACATCGGACTTGGGAAGCTATGTTACTGAGCTTAGCTTTCTTCTTGAAAAATCTCCCAAGATTGAAGTTAAATTGGACACATAGAGGAGTCTTGTTCTCTAATGGTTATTGCCAAACGCCAAGCAAAAGCAAGATTATTATTTATTAGTGTCTAGTTTCCATTCCAAACATTTGTAAGCGCGGTTCTGTTTTGGTTCATTGTTGTTCAGTTTGGTTTGGTCTAGAAATTAGTGCTTGCCTTGACATGAATTATCTGTAAATTCGACCCAAATCTCACTTGTTATACAATTATTATTTGCTTATAAGGATTTCTTTTGGGAGTTGGGACTACTACAATTAGTTGTGACGTAGCGTAACGGTGACATCACATTCGTATGTTCTTTACTTCTTTTAAGGCCCAATAGAATGACATAGAAAACACGTTTCATTCACTTAACTTTTCATATAATTTTTGAACATTTTATATAACCCCGAGATGTAATACTTAATTGGATTGACGATTTATTTCCCCACAAAAAATGTATCGTATAGCACCAGATGCAGTTAAACTACCGTCTCGTGTTATATATCCCCGAAAATAAAATTCGAAACCTATATCTCTCTGCATTGAAATTTCATAACTTATATCTCTCGAAATTATAGCTCGAAACCTCGGAATTCACAATCATTATATTAGTCGGTTTACGACCTAAACCGAATACCAAACCGAATTACAACCCGACCGGATAGCTTCTTCTTCGACACCATTAAGTCATTAACAATGTACATAACTCTCATCCACACCAACTTAATTTCATCTAATGACGTTAATGTTGAGTAAAAAAGAAAAAACCAATATTCCGTTTTTTTTTCTCTCATTAAATTAAACCCAGAAAACCGAATTATCCATAACGAAACCGGGTCGGGTCAGATCTAGCGGCCGACTTCTCCTAGTACACAGATACAAAGCACACACAACCGTATAAAGTAATCTTGCCGGAAGCGCGTCGCCGATCACGCGCATTCATCTTCTTCTTTCTCTCACCTAATCACATTTTTGTCTTTAATGGTGAAATCGATCTAATTCGTCCGTCAGAACTAAAACCAATTCTTCCCCCAAAAACCTTGCTTCAACCATACTTCACCATTCTTCTCGCGTCTCTGTATATATGCATCTATACTTAGTAGAGAGTTCTCATCGTCGACGACAATGCTAAAATGGCTCAATTTAGACAATCGGAGAGATTTAGTGTTCGCGGCGGCGGAGCAGCTTCTTCTGATCACGTAACGATCGGGATCCGAAACGGCGTCGGTGGAGCTAAAGGTAACAACAACAACCGGTGGAGACGATCCGTGAGAGCTGATAAGATTCGTCGACTTGGAATCGGTTCTGTTGTGTTTGTTCTTTGCTTTGTGCTTGTTGTTACTCTTCTCGCTTACTATTATATCTCTGGGTTTACTTATAATAGCTACGATGATAAAGGTTAGTTTTTTTTTTCTCTGGATCTTTGTGTTGAAGATGGTGAATTTTTAGATTGTTTTTGATTAGTTTTGTGTTTTGGGGCAGGATTTGTTGATTCATATGAAGGTGATTTTTTGACGAATGTGACTAGAATAGATCCTTCGAAAGTGCTTGAGTTTGGTCAAGGTTCAGTGATTCATGGACGAGATTCGAGGTATTGGGATAAAGATGATAGAAGAAGAGATGATGATTATAATGAGGATGAAGTGAAAAAGGATGTACAAGTTCACAATCCTGTGAAAGGGATTGGTTTGTATAATGAAGCTGGAAGGAATGAGTTAAAGATGTATGAAGCTGAGTATCAAGCTACGCTTGGGAAAGGTGGTCATGAGAGAAACGGTGTGCAGCGTCATGAGGGTGTTGATATGGATCGTGAGGATGATGATGGGATTGATTCTCATGATGGGGATGAATATGTTGATTCTGGGCATGAGGATGAGAATGAAGAGGCGCATAAAGAGAAAGTTGGTGAGGTTGTTCATTTGGTGACTAAGCATGAGAATATGGAGAAGGATGATGGAGGTATTTCAAAACGGTCACTTGGGGATTCTTATCTTGTTAGTAAGGGTGGTAAGTCCGGGAAAACATCACGGTCTGATACAAAGAGAAGAGGTCGTCGCAGATCTTCAGGTGATAATTTGTGATTAGTTTGGTTGAGAAGTCAGTTTGGGTATTTGCCGCTCATCATTCATTTGTTGTTCAAATTATTTCAGGTTCATGTGAAATGAAGCTATTGAATTCTAGTCAACAAATAGTGGAGCCCTTGAATACTCGAAAATCTGCTAGATTCTCCTTACAGTATATAGAGAAAGAAGATAAACCTGATGGAGAAGAACAGTGGGAGCCTAGATTTGCAGGTCATCAGAGTTTACAGGAGCGAGAAGATTCCTTCGTGGCTGAAGACAAGAAAATTCATTGTGGCTTTGTCAAAGGCCCCAAAGGATCTCCAAGCACTGGATTTGACCTGACAGAAGATGATACTAATTATATCAGTAGATGCCACATCGCTGTGATTTCATGTATCTTTGGCAATTCTGATCGCTTGAGGCCTCCTGCCAACAAAATGGTATGATTCTTTCCATCGTTTAGATTATGTTTATGTTGTTTGGTCGTCTCTTTCCCATGTTTAAGATTTGGAAACTGTGACCAGTGAGTTGTGTATCTTTAGAGTAGCCTACCTCCCATACGTGGAACCTGAGCTTACGTAGTCACTAACAGAGACTTGAGACTTGAGTTATCTTAGAGTTCGAGTGGCATGTGTTGACCTGTGGGTGTTGTTGTAGACTAGTTGCTGGAAATAAGATAAAAATAAGCAGTTTTGAGCTAGGTACACAAATTGTGTGTAATGAATGTTTAGATAGCTGGCATCTGAAAGTTGGTTTGTGGGTGTTTTCATCAACCATGGAGTAATGGACAGCCATCTGTTAGAATCGCCTCCTCAAAAATCTCAGAAGACATATTTGCTCTGTTGTGTTCTTATTTCCTTTTGATTTTTTGGTTATGATATTTTGTTACCTGTGCTAACCTTAATTCTTTTCTTTTCATTTAGATAAGTAGATTGTCAAGAAAAAATGTGTGCTTCATTGTGTTTGTGGACGAGATTACCATGCAAACACTTTCTGCAGAAGGACATGCCCCAGACAGAGCAGGATTCATTGGTCTGTGGAAGTTGGTTGTCGTGAAGAATCTTCCTTATGCAGATATGCGGAGGGTAGGAAAAATACCAAAAATGTTGCCACACCGACTTTTCCCATCAGCAAGGTGAGTCTCATGTCATAGCTATAACTCTCATTTTGATGTGTCTAACTAGCACATATGTTTTCCAGCAGTTGCATGTAGAGAACAGGTCAGTGACTCATGGTTAAGTATGACTGAAAAAAGTACCGCAAATGACATCAGTTATAAAGCATGTGTATACTTTTAATTCTGAGCTACAAAGACAAAAGTTAGGTGTGAAATACACTAACGATTAGATCTTGAAACTGGTTCTCTAGAAATATGCTTTGGAATGTGATATGCAATACCCGGTGAAAAACTTCTCAAGTCAGACCAGATCTGTATCAACACACAGAAACTCATCTGCTGTTTGTTCTTCCAGGTACTCAATCTGGTTGGACAGCAAGTTACGACTTCAGTTGGACCCACTGCTCATTCTGGAGTACTTTCTATGGCGTAAAGGTCACGAGTATGCTATATCCAATCACTATGACCGTCATTGTTTATGGGAAGAGGTTGCACAAAACAAGAAGCTGAACAAGTATAACCATACTGTTATTAATCAACAATTTCAGTTTTACAAGGCTGATGGGCTAACCAGATTCAACGCTTCAGATCCGTTCAAGCTTCTTCCTAGCAGTAAGGATCTGTTGGTTAACTGATATAAACCAACCAGGATTAGTACCTTCCTTGGGGAGTGTTTTCGTTAGTTAGTGTCTGTAACTGCTACTGGGTTTACTCGTAACAAGCACACGGGTTTTGAAATCTTATCTAGTATTATAAAGTTCATGATTAACTGAGGTCTTAGATTTTCGCACAAGCAACTGCATCCTTGGTCACGGCAACTTAATAATTTTTGCAGCCAGCTGTTATTCCAGCATTTAGGTTATATGCTCTTTGTGGGTTGAATCGCCACCATGCAATGGTCAACATTACCTGGTGTTGGTCATGCGTACAATACATTTGTACGGAATGCTTACTTACAATCCTCTTTTTATTATCGTATTTGCAGATGTTCCAGAGGGGTCTTTCATAGTACGAGCTCATACTCCTATGTCGAATCTATTCTCTTGTCTTTGGTTCAATGAAGTAGAACGCTTCACTCCCCGGGACCAGCTGAGCTTTGCCTATACTTACCAGAAACTAAGAAGGATGAATCCTGATAAACCATTTAATCTTCACATGTTCAAGGTAAAGAACTCCTTTTGCAAAAGTCTCCATGGTTATAATTCTGCTTGACCTAACAAAAAGCTGCTTGATGATTATCTAAAACATTGATTCGCCTCCATGTGTGTAAGCTGGGTTTAGAATTGTAAAGTCAAAAGTGCTCTTGACATGATATGAACTGAAGTCCTCCTATAAACTAGTAATAGAGCCAAACATCGAATGCAGTAATTTGTCTAGTCGTGGAGCCAATGGTAATATGTAATGGTTGTAACCAGAGTCATTTATGTGGGTCATGAAACTATGTAACAATTAAACTGTCAGTAGGAAATGATAATACCAGGTCTAAGATGTGTTGAATCCATGTTGGTTTGTATAAGAACCATATCCTATGGAACAGAGAGGGTCTCAAAACCGATGCTCTTGTTCATGGAGAAAACACAACCGATGGATTTGTGGAATTATGAATTAGGATCATATTTTAGGTCTGAATAGTTAAAGAGTATCGAGATCCAGATTTAAGTTTCCTTATGTTTCGTTTATTTCTTCATTTGGATTTCAGGACTGTGAGAGAAGAAAGATTGCAAAGTTGTTCCGTCACAGACCAGAAGAGAAGCGAAACCTTATACAAGCAGCAATACAATAAACAACTCTATGTTGTACCGAGCTGTATCCGTCGTGTATAGTACTTTGAGGCTCTACTGCTATATTCACAGTGTCACTTGGAGAAAAGCCACGTTTTCTTTGCTCCGATGACTTAGAAACTGCTGCAGGAAGATCCAGATGTTGTACATTGGGCTGAGTCTGTTGCTTGTGGCGACAACCAGAGGAGAGGTATACGAAAACAATGTGAGGTGATTTGTAGATTTAGGCGGCATTAAGAGTTGAAACTTTGAAAGAAGAAGAAGAAGGGGCTTGATTAGATTCATGAAAGGGTTCCTCCATTTTT